ACAACCAGGCACGTGAAAGCGTCGTTGTACCATTATGAAGACGAACTTTTAGCTCCTAGCAGCCTTACCACTTCTATGCCCACCTAGCTGTAACTCATATTTATTTCATAAGAAAATTCAAGTCAAGTCAAACGCTTCCAAATCATAAGCCGATCTCCATCGAATGTATACATGCAAGTACACATGCATGGGGTTGCACCAGATATGGACGCAAAGTTGGAAATATATCGATGAAATTAGGGTAAGAAAAGTACGAGTGAAACTCGTAATATTAAAGGTTATTATAGTATAAGTAAACATCTTATGAGTAAACATCTTATGATGAGTTTGCACCAGGTATGGACGAAAAGTTGGAAATATATCGATGAAAATTAGGGTAATAAAAGTACGAGTTAAACTCATAATATAAAAGTTATTATAGTCTATGTAAACATCTTACGCTAATAGAGTTGAGTAAAAATATGTGAAAAAAATAACGTAGCGAAACTAGATCACTTCAACGTACAATTTGCTCCCAAAGAACACTCAACAAGCAGCTATTCAAACCGTCAAAGAAATAAACAGCTATTCTAATAGAACCTTTTGACTTACATATTACGTACAATAAAGAGACATCACATTATCTAAACGTAGATATATGTTAAGCCTAATTAAATATCGAAACGACCACGTGAAAAGTGAACGCATATGTAACGCAACTTTTATTTTAAACTTATCTTTACCTCACTATCCTCAAAAAAATAAACATTTTTCGTCATGCCTCTATCCTGCAGGCATTTTTTGCATAATATTGATATCGAACTACCTTAAAAATGTTTGCAATAACGTGCATTAATTTCAAGTGTTCTGTAATATTCATCCATTGTCAGTAAAGTTTTTCAATACTGTTGGCCTAATACATTAAGTTTTTATGTAACTGAAACGTATTCGCGAAATGGCGTCAAGGTAGAGACGACAAGCATGAAACATATTTTTTCTATGCAATGAAAGGATTCTTTTGATTCATACGCGCTAGTGAAAATCATTTATAAGCTAATGAAAACTTCAGCACAACTAGAGGCTTAGAGCTTCAGCAACTAGAACATTAACTGTTCGCATGAGTCTTGTTTTGTGTTCGTCAAGTTTGATGTTCACGTGTTAAACTGTGAAGTTCATATGAAGGGAAGACTTTTTATGAATTTTTAGGGGTGAAAAGTTTGCGTTTGTTTCCAATTGCTTCAGCGCTCTGCATCGAGGGACGTTTGCATGGCTGCCCCGCCAAGCTATCGATTGGTCCTTTGTACCTGTAAAATATTGCTTATAAAATAATAATACTGCATTTAAATATATTAAGAAAGCAATTTAAACAACTCCTAACTCAATTGGTATTCGCATTACAGACTCTCATCTCAGTATTATGGAACGTTTGATTGCCATCGGTATAACACATGGAACGAATCTATAACTTTAAGAAGCCAATTCTGTCGACATCAAATTGCCTAACGCCATCCATCAACTTCTGTGCGAATTTCTAGAAATATTGGCGAAACACACAAAAAGAGCGTGATGGAATTTCTGTAGTTATGATTCTTTATTTTGACTGCTATTTGGTTAGTAAGTTGGCCACGGTTTTCCACGACGCACCTGACAGCAAAACAAAAGCGCTTCCTTCGCTCAACGATGGGAAGACCCTTGGCGGTGGCCGCCTTCACTGCCACGACTGAGCTGCGCTTTGCCTGCAAGAAATTCTTATATAAATCACAGCCTAATTAGCCTTAATTTAATTACGTTTTAGGGACCGAAAACAAATACGAGAGAATGCGTGATCTAAAGGAAAACACGGTGAAACATATTGACACGCACCAGTGATGAATTGCTTCAATTATTGCAGCTGCTCATAACAGTATAGTTTTGATGGTGCATAAAATTTATTGTAAGTAAACAAAAGTTGATTATTTGTAAAAGGCAAATGAAGTGCTACATCGTCGTCTAAAGTGCGACATCATCGTCAGTTTTATAGTCAGTAGTTTTATCGTCAGAGATTTGAAAAAAAAATCTTCAATACAGTGAATCGCTCCGGATAATAATTATAAAGAACAATTGCCCGTAATCAGGCAGAATAATTATAAGTGTTTCATCGAACTCGAACTTAATATGAAGAGAGCCAAAAGTTATAACAATTATTCCTGTATTTCATTGAATCTAATACTTTTTGGAACTCATGATACGATATTTCAAAAGTTGATTTGTGCAAAAAAATTAGTTGAGAACATCATGATATAAAAATATCATTTGTAATGTTTTTCATGCTGAAATTAAAAAACTACTCGACAGCAACGGGTTAAGCCACGTCCACTTATTAACTAAATCTCTTAGAATATTTTCGGCACATTATAATTCTCTGCACGGATAAGTTGCGTGTTGATAATCCCCAAATCCTCAAACTAGAGGAGCTGTGTGGGAAAACTTTTTCAGCCGTATTGAGTTTATATATTTGGTAACCAGCTGCTCAAAGTGGTTGTGCAGTATTTTTGCAGGTCCCATATAAATGATGACGTAGAATTATATATATTACGCTAGAGATCTGCGCAAGTAAAATTAGCAATATTAATGGATACACTTCATAATTGAGTAAAGTTGACCTTAGCAGCGGCGGCGTCTTCGTCGGTGAAGGCGCTGACGGCCTCGGCCCGCACCCAGTTGCGGCACACCGGCGACTCGAAGTACGTCACGTGATACCAATTCTGCGGCACGAATAACATGCGAATAACATGAATGGTAAGAACCAGAGTTTACCTTTTAGAATAATTTTTTCCTAGGTTTCCATTATACATGCGAATTAAAGATAAGCCATGGTTAGTTCTTACAGGAGGTAAATTTTTCCCCTAGTCTACTAAAGGTAGAATACATCACACATTATGAGAATGGAAATTTCGTGTGACATCGGAAGCGATTAAATGCATTCGCTATCTGAAACATAACTTTACACTAAAGACATCAATAAAATACATTGTGTTTTGGTTTTAAATGTATATATGGAAAAGCAACTGTCGGTAGATAACGAGTTATGCTGTCATTTCAATATAAATTAAATCGTTGTTATCATAGGAGTTGGACGTATATGGACGTGGTAGTGGTAAGGTTAGTACCAGACGGTCATTTCAATATAAATTAAATCGTTGTTATCTGGAAAGAAAGAAGCTCAAGGTGAGGCCAGTACCGGACGGGTGCTGTCGATGGGCAGCCAGAAGTAGGTGTCGGTGTCAGGGTCGTCGTCCACCATGGCGGGGTAGCGAGCCCTCCCTTGTTGCACCCACACAACTGAAACATAAGCCGCCAATGTAATAATAATAATAATAGCGATGTCAGCGTTTATTACGCCGAACGCCTGTCGCCGATTCTTAACATCGCAGAACATTCACAGCATTTTGCGGTCTGGAACTCGCAACTCACTGCTACAATTCTGCTGCGCTTAACCGCCTTCAAGGTGAGGCCAGTACCGGACGGGTGCTGTCGATGGGCAGCCAGAAGTAGGTGTCGGTGTCAGGGTCGTCGTCCACCATGGCGGGGTAGCGAGTCCTGCCTTGTTGTACCCACACAACTGAAACATAAGCGGCCAATGTAATAATAATAATAATGAATAATAATAATATCGATGTCAGCGTTTATTATGTCGTAGGCCTGTCGCCGATTCTTATCATCGCAGAACATTAACAGCTTGTTACGGTCTCGAACTCGCAACTCACTGCTACAATTCTGTTGTGCTTAACCGCCCGGCCTCCTTGGCGATTCTGACCAGAAACTGGCGCACAGAGCTGGGATCGAACCCGCGCCTCTCTGCATCAATCTTGATACTCTGAACTTTAACATTAACCTTAACTTTTAATCAAATTAATAGTAATTAAATGGTGAATAAAATCATGCAGTACACTCAACCAGAGACTCGAGGCAAGGGTTGTATAATACATACGTACATTAATATAGTTAATATAGTTAATGAGAAAGCGAATATAAGATTTCTGTTCGACTAATAAGAGATTAGCGCAAATTATAATTCTATTTTCTTGCACTTCTCTCCAATCATTTGCTTTCATAAAATATTTCTGTAATATATAATAAGTCCATATTTTTCATTCTAATTCACATAGAAATAATAATAATTCAAGAATATTATAAATAATAGATAAATGATTAAATTGAAGAAAACTATTGACAACTTAAGAGAAAACCTGTTGCTATAGCAATATATTGACCTGAGCCGAGCGTGAAGTTAGTGTGTACGAAGTAGTCTGGGTCGTAGCTGGGCAAGGTGGCCTCTGGTACTTCGCAGCTCGAATACTTCGCGTCTGTAATAATAATAATTAGCATAATTAGTAATAATTAGCATAATTAGTAATAATTAGCATAATTAGTAATAATTAGCATAATTAGTAATAATTAGCATAATTAGTAATAATTAGCATAAAATAGAAGTGTCGGCACTGAAGAAATAGGCCCATGGCATGTTGCCGATTCTTGTACTTTTCGTGACTTGATTCACAAGGGATCCAGCCCTTGGAACCCGATCTTTCCATAACTAATTTACATAGTAATGCCTTACTTTGTGTAGTGGCTGTATTCTAAAAGTGTTACTGAACAATAATATATTACAGTACTACGAAGTAATCTCTAATTTACAGGTGAACTATCTTTGAGATTATTATCGAATATTATCATATTATTCGATAACCTATACTAGCCCAGCATCTTAAGTTGACTTGAATATAATATACAGAATACTACAAGTAAGCTAGTTGCCCACGATTTGAGTTATATTTTTTATAGATCAGGTGATCGATAATTATATCATGAATATAATATTAAGTTAGGTTATAATAATAATATTATTATATATGTAAAACAATTGTTCATTTCAATTTTTACAATTAATAATTTAATTATATTTTTTTAATCTATATGATTTTGGACCGATCAGTGTTCATAGTGATGTTGGAATTTTTAATTCAAAGTCTAAATTCAATTCAAGTCTAAATGATAGCAAAATTGCTTGTTGCCTTAATTAACAGTCGTAATGTGAACAAGAATCATCATTTAAATTGCCTCGACTGAACTTTTTCAGGACTGTTTTCTTCATAATTATGATATCTAAAGTCAAGAATGGATCACTGTCTTTCCAAAAATATAAAATAAAGAAAAGAACGCATTGCACAAACCTTCAAGTTTTGGATTCGTCGCAAGTCCTCCACAGGGTGGCCACCTGGCATGAAGACGGTGGATTAGCGAAGTTATATTAAAGCTGTTATAAATATTGTATATGTGTGTTCTTTTATTAAATTATACTGATCACTGTATATGTGTGTTCTTTTATTGAATTATACTGATCACTGTATATGTGTGTTATTTTATTGAATTGCACTCATGATGCTATCGCAAGAGAAAGTAGCTGCATGAAGCTCATGACGTACACTCACCGGAGCCTGCGACACTGCGACGTCGTCTAGTAGCATCAGAAGATTTAGGCCGAGTCCTGTGTGCAGCGAACCAAAATACAATTCAGAATTTATGAATAACTGAAAAATTATATTCAGTTGTGATCATTATAAGTAGATTTTTTGCAATGCATCGAAAAGGAATTGATAAAAAATATCATTTGTGGGTATGCAGACTTATTTTATCCATCTTTAGGCTATCATTTCCATTATTTCCTTTCAAACTTTAGTAAACTGCTAAAAATTTTCTATCAATCTTCAAATACTTGCCAGACAAATAATCATAAATAATGCACGTGAGCAGTACGAATATGTGGATTCATAGTTAGTCACATGGATGCATGCAACCATGGTTGAATTAATATAAGTATTAATTCAACCATGCATGCAACTCACTTGAGTTGGGTGGCCGCAGTGCCGCTCTTCTTCTTTGCCGATATCCAGGGCTGCTGTGGATTGAAGCGTAATTATGTACAATGGAATATGAGCCTAAGTTTCGTGTATACATAACATAAACTCAATAATCTGACAAATTAATTTTTTGTATAAAATATGTATTTATCTCATAACTTATCGTCTATCTCAATTGAGCATTTATGTATTTTCCCATTGCGGATACAATAAAGCACAAAATTCATCGAAATAAGATACCTCTTGAGGAGACGGCATAGTGAAACTCTTGGAGTTCTTGGCGAGTTTAGCAGGATTTACAAAATTTGTTTGTTTCGTTTTGGTAGCCGATGATTTAAGGGGACATGTTGCGGTTTGTTTGTTATTCACATCGCTTTCAAATTCATCTTTGCCGCCATCACTTTCATCGTCTGCCTCCGACGAGCAGTCAGTAACCGAACGTCGGGGCTTGTCGGGAACTGAAGACTGACTCTCCGTCGTGGCGTTACCGTGACCAAGCCACGACGATGAGCTTGATGCGTCGTTTACATCTGACGGTGCGTCGTGTGCACCTGACGTTGCGTCGTGTGCACCTGACGGGGCGTCGTGTGCACCTGACGTTGCGTCGTGTACTCCTGACGTTGCGTCGTATACACCTGACGTTGAGTCGCGTTCTCCTGACGTTGCGTCGTGTGCACCTGGCGATGCATCGTGTGTACCTGACGTTGCGTCGTGTGCACCTGACGTTGCGTCGTGTACACCTGACGTTGCTGACGAGTCATGCGAGTAATACAAAGCCTGGCGGACGTGGTGGTTGTCGCACGTGGACGTGTGAATGATAGGAGACACGCTCGAGGGTAGAGGGGTGAGGACGCGCGATTGGGGCAAGGGTGACGACACAGCCTGAGGGGTGAAGCCCTCACGAGATGGCGCGGAGTCTGGGGCCTGGACATTGGTTAAAAATTTCTCTCAATTGTATTTTAAAAATAAAAGCAATAATCATCAAAGCCTGGCGGACGTGGTGGTTGTCGCACGTGGACGTGTGAATGATAGGAGACACGCTCGAGGGCAGAGGGGTGAGGGCGCGCGATTGGGGCAAGGGTGACGACACAGCCTGGGGGGTGAAGCCCTCACGAGATGGCGCGGAGTCTGGGGCCTGGACATTGGTTAAAAATTTCTCTCAATTGTATTTTAAAAATAAAAGCAATAATCATTAAAATTATGCGCATTGCATTTCTTATTAACATTGTTTTTGAATCTTGAAAAAGATAAATTGGATAAAATAGCGACCTGCTGAAAATTTGAAGCAGTTTTAAAACTTATTTCAATCTCAACATATAGCAGCATTCATAAAAATGATTTATATTTATTTGAAATTCCCCCCAAAAAAATTAATAACCCACCTAAATAACCGGAATGAATAAAAGCAGCCCGCAAGAAGGAGTATCATTTTATACAAGCCTCATAATTGGTTAAAGCGTAGAATTTATACCGAGAAGAAATACATGAATATTTGCTTTCATACCTACATTCGGGAAGTACGGTTTCCCTTGATCAATCATGTATTAGACTCATTTATTCATGCATTACTTAAGTTTAAATTAACCTGTTCCTTAATATGAAAACATTGCAATTGAGTAGAGAGATCAACTAGCATAACTTACCCCAACATTCGACACGAGCGACGAGTTGATTTCATAACTGCTCGGTTCACCGCACACTCCGCCTTCAGAAGTCGAGTTTTCCTGTTGTTCGACAGGAGAGGATTGCCATTTCCCTTTGTTCTGCTGGATGCGGTTAGCAGAATCTGGAACATTCTCGTCGCTGAATAAGAGCTTCTCATCAACCTGTTTCAATATCTTAGGTGCTTGAGACGTAGCCCCTCGCTTGCACGCACCTTTGCCCTCGACTGAAACTGTGCTCGGAGGATTAGTCTTCCCAGTGTACAAAAAAGACATTTTTTGTTTAAAGTAGGCAAGGTGACTTGCTTGCTGCCAAGGGCTTGATGGTTTCTCCCGTCCACCGTTCTTTGGCTTGGGATGAGCTTTTGGCTTGGCAGCGCCAGCTGTTTTTGCAGACTTGGAGCTCGTGGGGGCGGCCATAAATTCATCGTCTTCCAAGTTGCAGAGCTCCCGCTCAGTCTTGATGATTATTTTGGGCTTTGGTACCGAGTTTGTCTTTTTCAACTTCAGTGGCTTTGAGCTTTGACTATTCGACGGTTTACCGCTATCAATAATTTCCTTCGTTGCTGAGAACGCAGAATTCTGATCACCGGGATTACTCTCGGTTGTTACATGGCTCTCATAACTTGCACTTGCAGGACTGAGATTAAGAGGAAGTTTCCCTTGCACTGTGACATCCTTCACCTCCGGCAACGCCTCTCTGTTGAACGAGGGTTCTCCTGATCGGTGTGGGATCGAGGCTGAAACAGACCCATTGTGCTCGTTCTTAACGGAGTAAGTTGATTTGCAAACTTGAGAAGTGCATTTTGTATCAGAATATTTCTCTGAGTTCCCAGTTACTGCCATTTGTTTCTGTCCGTTCATCTGGGAAGCTTTTAGATTTCCACGAAGTTCCGATGAATTACTTCCATTAGTTACTGAATTAGTTCTTTCATTACCCGTAGAGTTATTTATAACAGGTTTCTTGAAAACAGGTTTGAAATTTGGTGCAATTTTTTGGCTTCTTCCAAAAACAGGTCGTATAGGTGCGCTCGAGGTAGGCTTCTGAGCTTCGGACTCCGCCTTGCCTCCATCGTCAGATGCCTCCATCGCTGCATCAGATTGTGATGACACGACATTCGTGCGATCCGTGAGCTCAGTACCCGCTGCAAGATTGTTATTACTGTCTTTCATCTGGACTAGATTTTGGCTGCGGTCAACTTGCTGGAAAGGGTTTCCAGGTTTGCCGGCTCGTTGGAAAAAATCAGCGAATCGAGTACCTGCAGCGTTCGCGTCATTTTCTTTTCCGACGCCGCCACGATTTGTAGGGATTTCCTGTGAGAGATTATACGATTCAGTTTCTTTTAATCCTCTTGCGGCAGACAGGAAAATATTACCAGGTTGATTGTTTGCAAACTCGCGGCCTTTAGGCGCTTGAAGTGCCGACGTGTCTTTGTTGCTGGCCATTTGAGTGCGCGCGAAGGGCGGGGCTCTGGCGTACGCAGGCACGCTGCAGTCACGCGACTCTCGAGGATCGCCTCGTGGGCCGCCGAAGTCCGTGAAACTGCCGACCGTGTCTGGGCTACTGTAAAATGACTCACTAAAGTTGTCGGTGGCGCTGAATGTGTTGGTGATGTTTCCTGGAGCTCTGTTAGCACCGTTGGCAACAGAAAATGCTTGCTTTGGGGCGACGGCGAAGCTGCTCTGGGATTTATTGATTAAATTTCCGTTTGTACTAAATGGGGTAATCGGTACTAGCGGCAGAGGTCTGCAGATGCTGGTTGAGAAGTTCCCATTTGGGTTATTGAGTGGAACGTTTCGTTCAGTTGACTGCGGTGAGCTTTGATATTGATCTTGTCCTGGTCTAAAATTCTTACTCAGCGCCGACGCAGACGAGAACAGAGAGCGCGGCTCTCCCCCAAAACTACTTCTCTGTGAGCTGTCCGGGTACTGGGTTTCAAAATTTTTGTTGATGTCCTCCAATATTTGGGTAAAGCCAACGCTGGAGTCTTGACGGCCTCGGTCATTCCCTGCTCCCAGCAACGATTGACTTGCCTCTTTGTAGGACTTCGCTACTTGCGAGAAAGACAGCATCCCAGAGCCCTGCGACAGCGCGTCATAAGCATCACCATCCATCCCACGCTGCGAACCAAGTTGTTCGTCGTTAGTGGCTTGCGATGCAAATAAATCTTCATCTTCTATTTCAACCAAGTTCTCAGTTTTTATTTCAGCGGCAGGGTAGATCGGATGAGAGTCATGACGGTCACCGGCCGCGGCCGCGGTAGGGAACATTCCAGACACGACACTCGCCACGCTTCTGTGCAACGAATGCATGCCCGAGAGGTGGCCTTCATTTCTCTGAGACATGCTTGCGAGGTAACCTGGACAGGTATTAACATTGATTTATTCACCTCATCAATATATTTTAAATACTCTTATTATATTAATGTTAGTGAGCTAGTAAAATGATTTTGTGGTGAATAGCGATATTCAATACACCAACTAATGTAGACAAATTCAACAAGAAGCAATGCGCGTCATATTTTATCTAAGCTTATCAATGAGCAAATGCTTATAAAAGAAAAATGAATTTTATATACATTTTAGGGTTTCATGATGTCCAAAAAACATGAAAGTATCAGTACTAATATTAGCAACCGCTCTATTTCAGTTTATTTTGAATTACTCTAGCGAGTCTAGTCTTGAAACACTCAAAGGCATTGAAAACCCATAATGACCTTCGGACAACCTTGACGACGCCGGCTATCAAGAGTCACTCTCGTGGCCACGGTCCAGTGTCCACTGTCCACCCATGGTTTCCGTTATAGATCATTTGATATATTAATCCATATTTGATCTCTAATGACTGATTGAACAAATTCTCGTCACGAATTCCCGTTATTACTGAACATTTCATTTATCCTATAGTACAACACCTCGATGAAATTAGTAACGAGAAGGTCCGTAGTTGATATTTTCTAGGCAGATGAACTGTTATAATTGCTCAAGAGTTCCGTTTAAAACTTGGTTGCATCAGTGCGGGAGAATAAATTATATAAACCATTTTTGCTTATACAATTAAGTTTAGTACAAATAATTTGATGTGATAAAAGTTGTGATTATCTCAGAATACTCAGATTTCTCGTCGTCGGCGACACATAATAATAATGACATGTGCTACGTAAACCGTACATCACAGGAATATTGTCGTTTGGCTAATCGGCTATAGATTACTGACTTAGTAAATGAGCTTCGTTTTTATTTATACTATATAATACCGCAAAATACATTTGTGCTTTTTGTTTCATAAATTTAAGTAAATTTTTAGCGTCATTAAAGTTGCAAGAATACAATTAACATACCTTCGAAGAAGCTGCAACTGACTTCTCACAAGAACTTCAAAGACAGACAGACGTACGTGACTAGCGTGAAATGAAGCCTCCCCAGCAGCCGTTGACGGGAAACACTTTCATCGAAATATTTTTATTGCAACCGTTGTAATGCTCGCGCCCAAGTAGGTCCGAATTAGCAAATTGTTTTCAATTTATTTTAAAACAATTACCTAGCTAAAGTACATTCAGAAGGAGGAGTTGGAGAAAAGTTAGGATATTACATATATGTACAAATTTATTTTAAGTAAAAAATATTACTTTGATTTTTGATTTGATACAATTTTTTTTACGGTGCTTATTTTATTGTATTAAGATAATAAAATTATTGCATAAATCTCAAATTAACGAAAAATATATTATAAATGAATATGCCTGGAATTATACTGAAACCGTTCGATCTTTTATTTGTATTAAATGTTCCTAACACTCATGACATTACCTATAGAAGTTACACTTGAGACCCGTCAGATATTTTAGCTGCCAGCTTTCCGATTCGTTGTGACCCAGGAAATTATCTCCAAACAATTTAAAAACAATATTTAAGCTTCCCTAAATAATGCAACTTTAAGATTAAAAATTTACGAATTGTACGGCTCTACGGGCATCGCACTGGCGAATGATTTTTAGTTAAGAATCCTGATATACCTTAGGTAAAGTTTGTAGCATTATCCAACATTTAATGGGCTCAGCCTCTTACAATAACTTCTCATACTTTGCTCCCTCATGCTCACCCGTCATCGAATGCCCATAAATTATTTCTTTGTTAAATTTGAATTAATCAATCCTTTCATTCATGAAACTTGGTACACGTATTCATTAGGACGTAACGGTGATGTTTGGCTCGTGAAAATTTTTCGAATTTCACCTTTATTCGTGAGTTATATGGCGATACGTGCCGAAATTCGCAGTGAGCAAGAAATTTCTTCTAAACTACTGTACAGATTTGAAGGAAACTTTGAATATATACAAACCTAACCTCCCAACGGTGATGTTTAGCTCGTGACCATTTTTAGATTTTGCCTTCGTTTGCGAGTTTTTTTTCACATTCGTGATTTAAACAGCAATGCGTGCTTAAATTCACAGTGAGCAGGAATTTCTCCTAAAATACTGAACAGATTTGGACGAAACTTCGTATGTGAATACCTAACCTCCCAACGGTGATATTTAGCTCGTAAATTTTTTTTTTTTCGATTTTGCTTTCTTTCGCGAGTTCTACAGATATACGGAGTAACGACCGGCATTTCTCAGGCAGATTTTTACAACACTTTTCTTAAAAACTTCACTTCTTGTTTGTCTGTCTGTCTGCTACAAATATTATAATCGATTTTTAACACACTTCTATCTGTCCAATCTATCTGAAACTTTGCAGACTTGCGTAAAGTCGGAGACATTGCATGAATCAATTGACAGAATAAATAATTTTGAAAATTCAATTTCTTTTATATATTAAAATAATTTAAATATTATTTTTTTACTATTCGAAATTAAAATTAGAAATTCATTGTTCATGTTTTACATTGGAGACACTGGATTTTTTAGAAGTGTTGTCTTTAAAGAGTAATTTTTAAGCGAATATTATTAAACTTGCATTGACCAAAAGCCGTATACATAAAGCCGTAGAACTTGCAAACGAAGGCAAAATCGAAAAAATTGTCACGAGCTAAACATCACCCTTGGGAGGTTAGGTATTCACTTAACATAACATAGTGATGTCGGCGTCGAGTGTGGTCTGTCGCCGATTTTTTAACTTTTCATGCTTTGTTCACAGAAGATTCAAAATCGTGTCATTTGACCGGATCTTTTCAAGACTAACGATAGTTTGAAATAGCTACTAGACTTCCACCGAGTTCGATATGGTGCTAGGCATTTCAAGTCTGAACATATATTTTTCCATAGCCAGAGCTGGGCAGCGCTACTTTAAAATGTAGCGGCGCTTCAGCTACCGCTACAGCGCCGCTACAGCGCCGCTACTTCAGCGGGCGCTACCGCTACCGCTACATCCACTAGATTGTAGCTAGCGCTACCGCTACCGCTACAGTAAAATGTAGCGCCGCTACATTAGCCGCTACAATGGCCAAAATTATTGGATATCTCTAAATATTTATTGTTCTGCTATTGGGATTTACTCATAACCATTTAATGATAACAAAACATTATCAAAACATATCAATGCAACTTTATTGCAATTAACCTAACGGAACTAGTACGGGTTAGATATAGTAAATAAAAGTTACAGTTATTTTTATGTTTTACCTTCCCTTCATGGATGTGTACTTTAAACTACCAATCTAAAAAATTATCCATATATATATATATAAAAAATCTGTCTTTTATTTGTATATATATGTGGATTATTTTTGAGATTGGTAGATTAAAGTAGACATCCATGTAGGGAAGGTGAAACATAAAAATAACTGTGTAAAAATAACTGTGGGCAAACTGAAACATGAAAAAATACATATAAGTGGTAACTGGTAACAACTTAACAAGTAACAACTAACAAGTTGACACTAGTAACAGGCTGAGATTGACAGCATTATACCGAAATCTTTCGTTCAGTTCTATTCTGTAATTTATATTAAGTATGTATCATGCTGGTTTTTAAATAATATTTAATACTATTAAGTATAATTTGAAGGCTTTATCTATAAATCTAGCGGCAGCGGAAAAACCTCGTATCGCTACTTAAATAAGTAGCGGGCGCTACTGCTACCGCTACATTGCCTTAAATGTAGCGCCGCTACCGCTACCGAAAATGTAGCGGACGCTACATGTAGCGCGCTACTGCACACCTCTGTCCATAGCTTTTTCATGTCTGTTCTTGAACGCGTTCATACCTGGAGCGCCAACGATGCCATCAAGGAGGCTGTTCCACACGTCGCTGATTCGAAGCGAGAAGAAATGTTGTAGCGTGGAGACGTTGCAGCGCAGTTTTCTTAGTTTATAGCTGTGGTGTTGGTTCTTGTTTCAAATTCCCTGGTGTTGGTTCTTGTTTTAAATTCAAGTAATCCTTCGGTAACCTTGTATAAGCCATGAGTATACTTGTATACTTCAATGAGGTTCCCGCTCAGACGTCGATAACTGAGGCTTGATAGCTTCATAATTTTTAATCTTTCTTCATGGGACTTGCCTTTCAAGCCTAGAAATTATTATCCTTGTTGCACGTCTTTGAACATTCTCTATTAAAGTTTTGTCATTTTTCAAATCTCGGTGACCTCACAACGTTTCCAAACTCTAGGTTCGGGCGCACGACAGCAACAAACAACTGCTTCATCGCTTCTGCATCTAGGAACTCGTATGAGCGTCTGATTAGACCAAGAAGTTTGTTGGATGTATTAGCTTTCGTTTCAACATGCTTAGAAAATTTAAGCTCCCTGTCGACATAAACTCCGAGATCTTTTTCCACACTAGACTTTTCAATCACTACTCTCTCGTTGTAACCACGTCTTCTCATACTGTAATCTTGCTGTTCATTGTTCTTCCCGAGGTGAAGTACTTTATAGTTTATACTTGTCAGCATTAAAACCGCAGCTGCCAGGTATCACGTATCAGCCCAGTTAACTAAACTGTCAAGATCATCTAGCAATTGCTCTTTATTTGCAGCATATTATAAACTTTTGTGTCGTCGGCATACATGGAGCACACGAGAACATGGAGCACATACGAAGTTTCGTTCAAATCTGTTCAGTATATTGGAGAAATTTTTTGCTCACTGCTAATTTAAGCACGTATTACTGTTTAAATCATGAATGTGGGAAAAATGAAAAAAATCGCGGACGAAGGCAAAATCTAAAGAATTGTAAAGAGATAAACATCGCCGTCAGGACCAAATAAATACGTGTACCAAGTTTCATCAAAGCTACGTACGTTAATTACATTGGGAGGGAGATATTCCTTCCTCACTGTCGAATATGAAAATATGAAGTTGCAACAGACCGAATCGACATGGCACATTGTTGTCATCGAGTGGGACCTCTCCTGTTTTAACATGACACGCAATGATCATCTCTTTTTTTTAACATGATACGCTATGGTCACCAGAAACAGGTACTTACTAGTAAAAGAACCCGCGAAAAGTTTAGTGATTAACACAGTTATAAAATAGAATAAGAAAGTTTACACTTAGACAAGAAAATAGAGCGTAAGTACTTACGTTCACTTAGCGAGTTTTCAAAGTATGGCCCGTTTCTCTGGTCAGAATCGGCAAGGAGGCCGGGCGGTTAAGTACAGCAGAATTTTAGCAGTGAGTTGCGAGTTCGAGATCGCAAAATGCTGTGAATGTTCTGCGACGTTAAGAATCGGCGCCAGGCCTACGGGTTACTAAACGCTGAAACCGCTAATATCATTATATTTTAACTGGCACAAATACCCTCATTGTCCTAACACATCATTATTAAGATGGTTTTCTAATATTGGTGGGACGTAATTTCTTCTTCATCTTGATCTCGCCAACATCAACAAATATTATTGGGAAAGTTTGATTCGAAGTTGTGAAAACGAATTGATAGGAAATTGGATAGAAGTCGTGCTTGTGCCGCAATGTTTTGTAGAAGCGGATGGAAATTATCTGAAGGGGTCCTGCAGTCAGCACCAATGATTCGTCAGCTTAGCGCATTATTGTTAATGACGATAGAGACTAGGAGTTTCGTTTGTTCGTTCATGGTGACAAGACGTGTGGTGCTATCGCTTAACAACCAAAGTTCTCGGTCTCGTAGACATATCTGAAACACAGTGCAAATCTATAAATACTAGTGCTTACCGAATAAGTGTGAAGAACAATCAAAGGTGAAACGTATCAATAGCACAATAGGTATGGCTGAATCATCGTCAGGCCCCAGCCTGACAGAAGAGCTCTTCTCTGAAGCAGGTATGGACACGTCTGAGTTTGCCGGCTTCCCTTCCGACTCACCTGTGATAGGAAGACCTGCCAAGATAAAGAAGCCCAGACTTCAATGCCACGCCAAACCTGTTCTTTCATCAACTTTTTCAGAATCTGCCTCAAACAACACCACCCAGTTTGAAACACT